AATATATATATATGTATTTAATACCGGCTTGTGGACAATCATGGTACTAACGCCACAACAATAATAACCATAAAGCGGATGGGGGTGGGTGGGTGGATCACAGAACTGTTAACATGGAAAATTGTAAATAAATGGGATAACAATTTTTATGTTTCACTGTACACTTTTTGAAACTTTTTGTCATAAAATGTGTCAATGTCTGATACCCTACAATTCGGTACGATTTATAAATTGGTGATGGTGACAAAAGGAAAGCGGGAAATTGGTGACAAACGACAGTCATGCGATCAGTGCCATTTCGTGAATGCTTGAAAGGTATTTCGGACTTGTCACACCATTTGAAATTGATGTAGGAAATCACACCGCCTCCCAACTTATTCCTACACCGTTATCTATTCTGTCTGAAGCCGACGAAATTATCCAGTGGGACCACGGAATTTCCCACATCATCGCTGAGGCTGACTCCTGAGGACACAAGATGCAAGAAGTGCGAAGTTCCTTTCGCTGGAGCGGGTAGGATAAATCCGGAAGCTTACAAAACAAAGAATGGACATTGCTACTCACAATGGTGGGTACGGTCTGTATACTGTGAGTAGTGCGACGGAAAGCGGTTTCCCAACCGGGGCGAATGCGTTTTCCGCGTTTGGAGTATTTGTGCGGTTGACTAGCGACTGGCACCTCGAACAACGCACTATGATTTTTCACCACCACATCCTGAATGATTAACATGAATTCTTTTGTGTTAATAGGTAAACCACACATAATGGTCGATAAAATTCAGAACGCAACGATAGTGAGCTATTGTAGTGCAGCCTTTCAGAGAGCGCGCGAAAATTATAATCGAGAGATGACCAGATCCTGAGTTTAATATTACTGTCCAGTTTCTGAATTCTCTCAGAACATCATCCCTTGCAAAAATGCACCGATTGGAATTCTTATTTGGAGCATATATGTATTCATGTGAATGCCCCATCTAGGTTGCAAGTTTGATTCAACACATGCACTGACGGGTGACTGGATGAGTACCCTTATTCCGGCCAGCAGGTGGATACATCCCAAATGCCCGTAGCCACGGTTAACAACGTTACGGAGACGGTGGAGACTCAAAGGGGATGTAGGTCAGCAGCGCATCGTGTCGGATATCGTGTACCAATTTCGCCCAGTCTTCTTGTCACAGTACCTTGGGATTAGCCGCCTTCTCTCTTCCGGGAAATCGATAGTACATTTGTCTTTTCAATGAAAAGCATGTAAATCTACTAGGAATCGCAATGAAAATGACTAAATTGAATCGTTTTGAAAATACCTTAAGGTGCATTGCGAGTTAGAATATGCATCTCCGTGGATAAAAGCCGTTGAGCAGCAATATAGACTGGTGCAGACAAACGGCAAACAGTTAGATGAACCAACGATTTTCAGGTTGTCAAAATTGTTTTGGTTGTCAATACGTTTTGCCTAATCAATGAATAGTATTGGTCAATAGTTCACATTAACTAATTCCTTCTCCATCGCTTCCCAGAAAGTCACTTTACCCCACATATCAGTATCCACATCCACTCAAACCACTGATCACAAACATTTCTCTCAGAGTCATATCAAACTGGTCAATTCACTAAAGTTTTCGCCAGCCAAAATTAACCCATGACCGCATACACAAAAACGAGAAAAATAAATCTGGTCCCCTCACAACCACGTTTGAAATGAATTGGGCAGTGTATGTCCAGTTTTGGCTGAATTTTGTTGCACTGTCAGAGTCGAGTTTACAATATTAACTGGTCGTCTTTTTCTCCTTATTGGACACAGTAAGCAAACTTTTGCCATTAAGGATAAGTTCAGGGAATCTTACGAAACGATTGATTTACTTTTTAAGGGTGTCTTTTTGAGCGCTTAATTTTACGAAACAACGATTTTGCAACGGTTCAACGCTCCTTGCGGTCAATGCAAACTTTGGCGATGAAATTCTAAACACTCACTTAGCTCAAAATATCATACTGATTGTAGATGTGTTCTCAGTTAGATTGGACCGGAGTGAAAGCCTCATACTTGCTGCAAATGTTTTCTAAATCAGAAAAGATTTTTCATTACTATTTCTGACGATACTTAATAATAGATTAAAATGACTTGAAAAGGGTCATCTAAAACGGTCCAAACGTCGTGACCATCACTACGTATTTCGATAACACTAGAGTTGTGTGTCAGCAAATCTCTTCGGATTTTCGTCAGATTTTTTATTCAGCCTCAGATTCTACCAGGAGTGTTAAATATTTTATGCGGTTTTATCAGAAATTTGAGCTAACCGTATAAGGGATAAAATGTTAACTGGGTTTCATCTTTGATTCTCACATTTCGTAAAACTTTATTTATAAAATGGTTTGGGTATTATGAGACGTGAATGGACTATTCTAATTGCATGATCTCTCGGTTTATCCCAATCTTACATCGAGTGCAGTGTAGCTTACGTTTCCCGGTCTGGTGGGATGTCCAATGAGTTGAACAACATCATCAGCCTGAATTCCGACGGGGTTGAGGAAGGTGTGGCAATTGGTGGTGACCGTTATCCAGGCAGCACGTTTCTTGATCACGTGCTTCGTTATGAGGACAATCCAGCGGTAAAAATGATTGTGATTCTAGGAGAGGTGAGTGCGTCCACAAATGATCACGGTTGATCTTCTCTTGTTTATAAGGCGTCTGTGTAGTGATTAAGGATTGTTGATGATGTCATAATAGTTGCCCATTTACACGAAACAATTGATCTTATTGGTAAGGTCGGTGTTCGGCTACTCACTTGTTTGATAGGCAGTGACCTAATGTGAACTTGTGTTTATCTCGAGTTATTTAATTTGTCTCATTACGGCCTGTCATGACTGCATTGCATTTTCCCGATGTTAGATTTTCAAGCGATCGTCTTCCGATAGCTTTTCTCGTCTAGATAAGTGAATCGTAAAGTAAAAGTTATGGAGCACTGAATAACTGATGCGACTTGGTTGTATCTCATCAGCAGTGGTAATTCATTGACCCAACCCAGGATTGAACTCGGAACATCTGATATAGCCAATCAGTAGACAGACTGTTTCCAATCGTGTAATCACGTCGGAGACTAGTGCGAACGCTTCCTTTGTTTCGTACACGATTCGATTCACCACATAATAATGTTAATAATAATACATTCACCCTATCAATTTTGTCAGAAAAAAATCATTATCAATTACTTTCTCTTCAAAGTTGCTGGGTAATTTTATCAGTTCTGTTCGATGTTGCTTCTGTTAACCCGTTTAAATTCATTCATTAACAATGCGCTACTACCTGTCTGGATTGGAACCCAATCAATTTGCGTTTTTCTTTTGACTGGATCATAGTTTCATATTGTGACTTGTTGTATAGGTTGGAGGCACAGAGGAGTACGCTGTGGCCGAGGCAGTGCGCTCCGGTCAGGTGCGTAAACCGGTGGTGGCCTGGTGTATTGGTACCTGTGCACAACAACTGGCTCGAGCCACAGGGACTGAAGGGATTCAGTTTGGTCACGCGGGAGCCTGTGCCAATTCGGACAGGGAAACCGCTACAGCTAAGAACGCCGCCCTAGCTGCAGCAGGTATTCACGTCCCCACCAGTTTCGATGATCTGGATGTGCTGATTCGGTAAGTCTATCTGCTACGCTAGTTGTAGAATAGTCAAGTGAAATCAGCGGTTCCGGATCTTAAAGTCGTCTAAATTACCGCGAGGAGTTTTAGTAAACAACAAAGATGGTGTTGTGGGCATGTATAAACTTGCATTTCGTTCATTTGTAATATGAATGTGAGCCATTCTTCGTCAGCTCTTTACACATTCGATAATGTGATGATGCAGATGAAGCACGGATCAAATGCATTTATATCGATCATTATGAAGTTCAATTTAAGTAGATTTTTTCGTGGATCGTTAATTCGTCATTCATGTTCAAAGCGGATAAAATAGGATTTTTATCAGATGCGCGACTCGCATAGCCTGTCAGTGATGAGTGACTCGTTGAACATGAATGACAAGTAAACTTTCCTAACGAACCCGAATCTTTCCGTTTGTCTCATACAGATACTCTGTTTTGACGTTAGTTTTCACTCAACCAGGGATAATGTTCTAACTGTTGTTCGGTTGCTTTTATGCAATATTTTATAGCTTTGGCATACAGATAAGAACGATTGCCGAGAGACACTTTTTATAGTGAATCAATTTCCAGACCCTCCATCTCCGATGTACATTCCCCGAAGCAGAGACTTACAACACTGGGGGACAAAAGATGTGAAGAATGGTTGTGGCTGCAAGAGAAAACCCAGGAATTGGCTTTAGCCATTTATTAGGTAGTTTCATGGTGAGCGACAAACATCATGAAATTAGGTGCCGTTTTTTTTCTTTTATCACTTGTTATTTGGACGGAGCTTAAGCAACCTGTCCGGTCTCGCACGTCTTCGAGTCGGGGCACACGCGCTCTCGAAGTGCACCACACAGGCTGAACCCGATTGGATGATCACAGAACGTGTCAGCCAATGTTTGTCCAATCGATCAATCGATATGTCAAGGACGCAATCTGAT